GGCATGAACTTTACCTGAGACTTCCTGCAATCTCAGATATTTATTCCGAACACTCCGTTTCTCAGCCATCGTCTTAGACGACCCTCTAACGGATGAATGCATACATTGACTTCAGGTGTTACCGTATGCGTTTACCCCACTTTTGGCTGTTGACGTCAATACCAGGCTCCTCTCTCTTTCCAAAGGCCAAATCAAAACCAACATCCAGTTTCCACTTCAAAGGCCCAATCAACACTCGCGTATCCGTTCACCTACAGAACGGTGTTGATACACGATACTGGAGCGGTTGGTTTGGGATGCAAAATATGTTCCCCAACATCCACCAAAATAACACAGAGCGTGTCTCGATAAATTGTGGGAAAACTATAAATAACATCAGGAGGTAACAAGAGGTCCCCAGGTACGCATGACACTTCAAAAGAAAATACCAAACGATTGCAACTGGATTACGTAAACACTAAACAGCCTTGCATATTTTGTTTTCAGTCGCATCATGTAAATTTAGTGTCATCTGCTGCCATTGCTGAGTCAAATTGTAATTGAACCGATTAGCTTGATGTAATGTGATCACTGATGTGCTTAGGTGGATTCATTTAACAAAAATGTGTCAGCTGTCTAGAACATGCAAGAGTAACCGGATATATTGGGTAAGAAATAAAGCATAACTGAATTATTGAAATTATACCTTTGTGAGACTCGCTGTAAATGCTACAGATAATTGCCGAAGAAACACAATTCGATACATATATGGACGACGAGCTACTGTAATAACCTTTAACCCGCGCCCCGTTGGGCTCTGCCGAGCAACGCGCCCGGTTGGGGGGGGGGGCCATTTTGGCCCCCCCCCTAAGATCTCGAGAACCACGCAACATAGCGACAAGCGGTAAACGGCGTTGGATAGCCCCAATGGGGAACTACCTTGTGACCCAACTTTATTGACCTAGGTCAAACCAATGACGTCACAGGTCAGGTCAAAGGTCCAATTTTCACCGTTTACAGGCACTTCAAGAAATGCGTTGTAAAATCGAGTAAAATGCATTTCATTGAAAATCATCGATGGGGAAATGTTCTTCAAACACATATTTTGCTATTTGAGGTCACTGATACCAGGTCAGGTCACAGAGGTCAGGTCACGGGGGGGTCACAATATGAAAGTGTCGTGTGATACATGTTTTATGGTCCATTTTACATGACAAATGCGATTATATGGGTCAGGCAGCCTTTGGGGCCAGCTTAGATCACGTTTTGGTCAAGGTCAGGTCAAGGTCAGGTCAAGGTCAGGTCAAATTAGGTCAAATTTCAAAGTTAATATTTTTGCATAAAATGGGTATTGAATCGATGCAGCTCGTCACGGGGAGTTCAATGGTGGTCTTTGTTTTGCCGTACGAGGTCTAGAATTGCTAAAAATTGAGTTCAAAAATTTGACGTCATCATTTTTGAACAGTTTTTTCGCTATAACTTGGCCAAAAAACGAGATATCGATCTGAAATTTGGTATGTATATAGAAGAGCGCTGGAACTATCACATATATTCCGGTTTTTTCGAAATTCGGAAAAATTTTGGATTTTTTCAAAGTTTTTCTAAAAAAATCAATTTTTTGATTTTTTTTTGGGTCAAAAACCAAAAATTTTGAAAATCCGAGATAGCAGTTTTGTAGCGCCGCCTTTTGTCTACTAGACCATATAAAGAACTTTGAAATTGCTTGATAACTGTAGATTTGGTGAGCGTTTCAAGATTGCATGTTTTTTGCTCATTTTTGCTCGAACATGACCTCAGTTTGACCTCAATAACTCCTGACCTAAGGTGACCTAAGACTTGAAATTTGGTGTGAAGGTGTCAAATTGATGCCCGGGAAGGTACTGAAAATTTGGCGGCGCTTCGCGCCGCCGTTTTCTTGCTATTCAGGAAAAACCACAGGGGGGGCCAAAATGGCCCCCCCCCAACGGGGCGAGGGTTAACAGACCTCTACTGAGCCTGTTGAACAACAGCACGGGTTCACAATCCGCGACATTTCTTAGAAACGCCTACAACCAACTTGTTTGTCGCGCGACCGCCTTGGAATGGAAACGATCCATAAATATCCAGAAACATACGTGTACCAAGACTAGCATAAATACACTCGATCTAGAGGATTGTCCGAGAATCAATAAGCGATGGGTTCACTGGGTTTAGCGAGTGCAAACACCGCCATCGGTCAGCTACAGCGCGACTCACATCGTCTGCTCTGTCTAAGAACCGACCCCAGTCTGAACGATCTACGGGCACACATCGCTTCGGCCTTCGGTCAATGTGCAAACGGCGGCCAATAACTCCTTCGTTCTCCGAACCGCCAGCACCAGACAGCAAAAGTCATCCATTCCACGGCACGGACATGTGGTGTATGAACAGTCGGCCGGACTTGGAGTGCTCTACATGTCGCCGTTCCACTTGACATTGTCATATTGCAGCATGACACAGCTCCGGCCGTCAGGCACAAGGTGCATGGTGGCACAGCAAGGCCATATGCAAACACGGCACATGCAAATGGTCGGACCCATGGGCGTCAATTATGGCTCCCCGCCGCGGCGCGCCGGGATCGCCACCTCGGGCGCCGCCCGTAATTAGCCACGGTCGAGCGGAGCGCTCACCGTGGCGCGCGTCGGCCGGCCGATTTTCATTAGAGGACGGTGGGAGAGAGGGTGCGTCGCCCGCCGCGCTGCCCACCTGTGTTATTTATGGACCAGCGTACCGATCAGACTGTGATTGCGGTGTGACATATTGATGGGTCCACATGTGCCAACGGAGGGTTTGGTCAAGTTGAACCGCCCACCTCAGCCGCAAAAAGTTGGTCACATAGAGGAATGCGGTGAGCTAGCACAGCATCGCTGTTCCGTGTAAGAGTAATGGCGCTGGCCACTACTAATTTATCAATTACGAGTTCACAGAATGGCGCTCTGAAACACGCGCTGCACCTCATGAATTTTAATTCCTCTGTGGTCTTTATGAAACCGCCCAGTACCTATATCTGTTTTACCACAAAGAGCATTCACAGAGCGGGAGCACAAGGTACGAAGAGGCGCTGATAACTCGGAGAAGCGCCGATAGTTCGGTGGCGTGCCGATCCCAACCTCAGTCCGCCTCTCCCGACCCTGTCTCCCCGACCGACCGGTATGTTAATCCCCGTACCGATACCGTGTTCCCGGACATTATAGCTCACGATTCGCGGCACTGGCCGTGCAACTGCGGCCCGCACGTGCAGCCGCCCCGCGCCACGGGACCGGGCCGGCGTCCGGTGATGGCGCGGACAGCAGCCAAATAACGTGTTGCTGCAGCGTTTATAGCACACGCGAGCCGGGCAAGGCGCGGGAAAGTGACATGTCTGGAAAATGTTAGTACCAATTTAGAATGTCTGTTGACGTCGCTGAGTTGTTGCAACGACAATAAAAATGATATTACCGTGAGGGATAAGGTCATTAATGTCGTGTATCATGGCATGATGTCTTATGAGCTAAGAAATAACTTGAATCAGAAACCTAAATCTTTTTTTATCATTTGAACATGACAAAGCTACTGAAGGTCATCTACGAGATATAGTGCAGGAGGTCAGGACAGTTGACGGCGTTCGCAGGATGCGTGCTGTGTTCAGCGTCTGCAGTTAATGTTCGTCTTAGCCGGGAAACGTGAAAATACTTAAATACTTTAGCTGGTTATGCGTCAAAATGTTAAAGAAATACATTTGTAATATATGAAGAACATTATTGGTGTGGTATACCTAACAAAGTTGAGTTGACCGTAGAAATGATTTTGATTCGCGGAAAGTCACGGTTCACCCTGTTGCTCATATAGCATGAGTAGCATCTGTCGTTACTGTTGAAACGAAAACCTTAAAAATAGAGCTAAATAGCACCGGAATGCGTGATGTAGCTAAATTTCACTTTCACTTGCACAATCTTTGCCATTTAACTTTTGCCAAACAATACGAAGAATTACAAATTCAACAGCAGGCATAATTCTTGGTTGTGATTTAACCTCTATAGGTTGAGTGAAAACATTGTCGTTCCTGTTGTGGTGTTACATGCATAAAATGTCTCATGAACTAGGAGAAGGTCAAGCAAATAGCCACTCCTTTTCCTACAGATAGTTTGCCCCAACGGTCGCCTAAAATACAACTCCTGGACAAATAATACCGCTGGACAAATGTCGTGACATACACAACCCCGGCGGGATTTACAAAGCATGCGGCTTCACTTGAGGTCTCACTGTGCAATATGCAATAGACAACTTTGAAAGGTTACAACATTGTGACACGACATCTTCCGTCGCATACATAGCTTCCAGGACCGGACGTCGGTGATACTTACTACAGATCTGTCTGTGCATATGACACATAGCCACCGGCACTGTCGGGCATGTGTCAATCAATATCTGTTGAACTTTTGAGTCTTACAATAGAGACGCCCACGTCCGATCACACCGGGTGTGACCTCTTCAAATGCCCAGTGCAACTCTTCATTACACTTTTTATAGAAGTTCAGGTTTTATTTGTGGAACAGTCGGGGTACGTCTGATGTTGCCAATCGTTGAGGAGATTGAGGGGACGGCGGCTGTCCCAGCGACCTCACACTATAGGGGATAACGTCGGCCGTTCGAGCGGCCTAGTTTATATCCGAATAAAGAACTCGGCTCCACTAAGTTGTGGCGACAAATTGGGACAGAGTCACTAGATAGCAGTGGTCAGAACTCAGTGGAGAGAAATTCCTCAGGGTGAGAGACTATTTAGGGGTTCGATGCTGGTGAGCATCTCAAGCAAATCTCCCAGACAGGAGCAAAAAAAAAGGCATCGTTACATGACGACAAACTGGGGTAAAACCAAGTAGATAATTACAACGAAACCAAAATAAGGCCTAGTGAGCAACCACTTGAAGCACAATCAATTACCAACACGACTGAAAGAGACAAGACCTGCACCGACACTACAAACAGCTCAACAACACCGACCAACACGTGCAGCATCATCTCACCTTGCACGACGAGTCTGATGAGTCCTCCTGCGTCGACCCTGCCGTTCACCTGGCAGACGTACTCCCCACTATCCTCCACCTTGACGGGCTCGTACTGCAGCGACAGCGAGTCGTCCAGCAGGCGCACGCGGCCGTGCTTGTGGAATACGGTGGTGACGCCGCCCTGCCAGTGCAACAGGCGCGTCTCGATGGCCGCCTCGGCCGACACGATGATGCTCTCCATGCAGCCGTAGCAGAGCCAGGTGAGTTCCGAGACGCGCGACCGGTCCAGGCCGGTCAGGCCCGAGCACGGCAGCGTCACCCCCGTCCGCGCCTTGGTGAACAGAGGGATACTCTGGCTCCAGCAGCCTGTGAAATAGGAGAGATAATTGAATTTGTCTGTTTGCTGGAAGACGGAGAGACAGTCTTTTTCCTTAAGTAGGAGCACCTGTTAGATTCACAGGCCTGAATTATCATTATCAGTAATGTTGACAGATTATCACACTCGAATCAATTACGATTAAGCTCAGCCACGCGCGCGCTCTTTTTCCAGTGCCTCTTCCATTTTCGTCTCATTGAGCAGACACCCTGGCACACAGAAACCCAGCTCGCCGTCGCTAATGACCTCATTAAGCCTGGCGGCTGGCGAGCCGGCCGCCCCGCCGCTGTCCGGCGAACCTGACGCGTTCTCAGGTGATGATGGACGCGGCCGGCACGCCGAGCCGACACGGCCGCCCTCGGACCGCGCCGACCGCCGCCGCGTCGGTCCCGACGACCCTCCGTCGGCCCCGACGGTCCCGCGGGGCGCGGTCGGGCCGAGAGCGCGGCGCCGGCAAAAGTCGCGAGGAGTGGCGAACAGGGGTGCCGGCGGCACAGCGATCGATTATCTAACGTCGGCCACTGAGAGAAGAACGGCGAACGGTGCCTCCGGCTATCTGATGCGTCGGCCGCGTGACGCCCCGCGGGCGCCGCCGCGCCGGGGGCGCCGGCCGGGGCGCCCACAGGGAGACGCGCCCGAGGAACAAAGGGGTGCACTGTTTGCCCGCGCGGCGCGCGCCGCTCGCGCCAGGGAGACTGGACTGATTTAATTTGGCGTGGAGCACCAGGGCCCATAAAGGGGAATTTAGTAACATTGGTCCAGGGAAGAGGTCTCCAATGTTTCGATACAGAAGCGCGGAGCCGTAACGAAAACAGAGGGGAGTGCCACAAGTGATGCGCCACCCATGCTAGTTTATTGGTGTGGTAAACAATACAATCTATCGGTATTCGGCGTAGGGTCCCTAAAATGTAGAACAACTTTTTTCAGCGCATGCAAAGCAGTTTTGCATGAATTGCAATCCTGTGCATTTTAATCAATTATTAAGAGTAGACACACTGAGGAAGTATGCATTATGCATTGTTCATTAGATTTGAGAATTGATTTAAACATTATTTCAAGCGCTTGAACACCTGGTGAAACATTATGTGCATATCTTTGCTAACTCCAGGGGCGTTTGATCATCAAAAGCGACAGATATGTGCCTAATATTTTGGGCCCGTGCTGAGTGTAGAGACGTCGACTATGGGATCCAGGATGGAATGTCTGTCATCTTCATAATGCATCGGACGGTGAATAACGCGGTGGTGGCCCACTGTTGGCTCATTTTACAAATGGAGTTAACCGGCAGCGAGTTCGTGCATCACTCAACCAATCTACGCAGAGACAACAGTGACCCGGCCCGCCCCGGCCCGGCCAGAGATGTTACACAGAAAACGGAATACAGCTTGACGGCGGTATTTTGGAGCTCCAGCACAAAAGCGCACGTAAAAGTTGAGCGTTTGATCATGTTGAAAACTTTGGCACTGGATTAAACACAGACGATTCTCAGCAGTTGGTCCAGTTCCACGGACACCAGTAGCCTGTTAAGTTTGCAATACAGCTCCAATTATAACTTATGCGGTGTGCGTCCCAAGACACCGAGTCCGAGTCCAGAGCATGGTCCGCATCAGTCACTGCTCAGTGCTCAGTCAACTTTGAGTCTGCTCAGCGAGCCTGATGGTCTATTCAGCCGGCAGCCGGGAGGGCGGCTCAAAGGTCAGTTTTCCGCTGGCCGACTGCCTGCAGTGTAATTTTAGCCGCCGCCAATCCCCGTGTCGTCCGTCCGTGTCCGTCTGTGACGCCGTCTCCGTCCCTGTCCCCGAACGGATCCAATTAAGCAGCCGTTTATTGCGCCCGGACTCTTTGACAGTGAACTGGGCGGAGCTGATCAAACGCCGCGCACTCGTCCAATTTGCCTCGTCTCGTGACACGGTGTCTTGAGTCTGGGAGTTCTGGGATAAGTCGGGGAGCTTTTCGGCGGATACGCATGTCTCGAAATAAACAGCAGCTCGTAAACCGGCTCATCGCATTCAAAGCCCACGCGCGCTAAATCCCTTGAGTAAGTGCGCTCACCATAGACATGATCCTTTTCAAACTACTGAATTGGTTCTATCAATGCTTCTGTCACCACAGCTTCTGTCTGTTTTTTCTTTTGTCAGCGCCATGGTAGCCCGGCGTTAGGTTAGATCCCACAGAGCCGGCAGCTCGATGCGGCCGCTGATTAGCGATTTATTGCTCCGCGCTGCTCCCCCGCCAGCGCAGTCGGCCAGGCAGAAGGGCTCTCTAACGAGTCACCCGTTGTCATGGAGATGAGAGCGTGGCCAGCGCGCGTCCGTCGCCCGGAGTGATTGAGGTGAGATTGTGCTCGGCTGCCACTGTCCCTTCTGCCGGGCCGCAGCGGCGGCGCCAGGCGCGGTGGGAGGATGTCATATTATAGCCCACATCAGACACCCATTGTCGCTGCTCCGCGGGATAAAACTGAATAATTTATACACTACACAGCTCATCTGCTATCCCATGGCGTCGACCCCTATCACCCCTCCCTGGATCCGCCCCTGCGCTCCGACCCGCAGTCAATCGGAGGCGCGCGGAGGGCACCGGACAAAACAAAATCGCCGGCCGACCCGCGGACCCACCGCTGGGGGGGGGGGGGGGCGCTCTTTGTGATGCAGACGAGCCGCGGCCCGACCGCACCGTCAGCCAAATCGGACAATCAATTGGCTCGTTCTGACCGCATCCGGTGCAGTCATCGACGACCTGTCCCTCTGTGAATGGCCGGCGGGGCGGCGGCGGGGCGCCAGTCAGTTGATATGACCGCAATCCATATGCGTTTTCCGGCGTGGCTTTATGTGCGTGAGACGGGGGTGCCGTCGAGTCAGCTGGACGGAGGGTGACGGCGGCTCTCATGGCCCTGCATGTCCCAGGGGGCCGTCGTTCTGACGCCGCTGGGACGGGAGGGGGATGAAAGGCGGGGGGGGGGGGGCAGTCGACAGAGGCGTCGCAGCTTCATGCCCTGGGGCTGTCTGCAGCAGCCGTGGCCGCCCCATTCCACTGCTATGACCGACATAAACCGCACACCGAGGCGACAACAATGCTTCATAAGGTGGCGAGCGCGGCGAGTGGCGGCGGCCGGCGGCGCGCCGACCCGTACCGCCCACTAATTACGAGCAGAACGTTGGGCCGCCGAGAGCGGGCCGCAGCACTAACTTGTGCAGACGGCGCGCATCGCACCGCCGGCCGCAACAGCTGATTGTATGCAAATGACGTCAGTGGGGCGCACGGCGAGAACGCGCCGTCCGACCGCGTCCATTGCGCCAACACCTGCCTGCGCCAAATTTGTCCTCATTAGAGAGGTAATAGGATAAATGGCTGTGGTCGTTGCATTAAACATAAGCGTCTCGCCGGCCTGTGGATGGGGCGCTGATGTGTTGCAGAGTCTGCCCCGGGGCGAGCGAGGGGGAATGCGCCTGGACCGTATCGCAGATGGCGATGCTATAGTTCCTGGGAAGTCTCGCACCCTACTTATAGCGTCATAGCTTTTGTGCATGGTATTTTACTCGGAAAAAGTACGTAAAATATGCATGAGAAAGGTAACGATGACATGCACCTTAATTCACAGGATGTTCAGCTTCGTTTCAATGGGAAGGTTGCCAAACCAAACAGCAAGAGGCAGGAAGCAGGAACAGACATGAAGCCATGAGCGATTGACAGGGTAAGACGCACACTCACTCGGTTAATTTGCAACACTGGCCAGGCGGTAAGGTATGGTCTTGCGTGAGATCGAGGGCGAGGCGCTCCCTGACCTGATCACTAATGGGTCGCGGGAAAGGAAGCGCTAGGACGCATCGAAGTGAGAAAGGTGGCTGACATGTCAAAGCGGTGGTGGCCGAATTAGGAATTTATATAACAGCACATATGTTTGTTGATCGGTTGCCCAGTTAGATGCGTGTATCTGTACCTACCGTATGAAGTGTCTCTGGATTGTATATGGTGAAAGACAAACGACAGCGTCAAAGTGATTATGCGCGTTATTAATCTGGCATGCATGACCGATCTCACATACCTAATCCCTATAATCTCTCAAATGCAGGTAATGTTATGTTATATGGTCAACGGATAGCTCGAAATAAATTGTCGGCAAAACTGGTTAGCAGGGAATAATGCCTCACAGTTGTCCGGACTGTAGAAGTTTTAAAGCTCACGTTTCGGCGCTGCGAGGACGGCGGTGTGATGGCTCCGCTCCACCGGTCTGTTTCCCACCCGTTACAGAGTTCAGTTCCACTTTGCAGACTCAAACTTTGAACATCGCTCACTTGGGTGTTTGCTTCTTCGCGTGGGGGATGGAAAACGGCCTACTGTACTTGTTTTGTCAACGCCTCTGTGAAACCCCATTTGTTATAGTGTTTACTCCCCATTGAATGATATAACGATTTATTACAGTTCAAGTGCATGCATAAGGCATACCTACGCGTTTCATGGAAAGAAATAATTCGGATTGACAAGAACTCATATCACGTGCCGGACGGTGGGCGCATTTGGTGCAGGGACAGAACACAATCTACACAGTGCACATGTCGAAAACAAATCACAACAAGCACATTGTGGGTGCTCAGAGGCCATGCAACGTCTCAGACTGAATCGTTATCCTTTATCAAATCTACCTCGTTTCTCGTCGTTATTTCTGCGTTGAAATGCACGCCGCTTTCAGCACTGAAAAGCTTGAGAACTGTACCTTAACCAACCCATGCATTGCTAACTATAAACGCTTCGGGCCGCCGAGTTTGCATATTTCATTGATTCAGTTGACTTTTTTAAATCCTGCAACCAAACAACGCTAGCCATAAACAAGCAGGAACTTCTGCATCAGTTTCGAATTTCGCTGCAGTTGTTTTTAAAACAACTTTGGTGAGTGTGTTCGTTTCAAAATCCCGACAACCTGCCCCGCCTCTGCATTGCATTGTCGGGAATGGTTATTACCCGTTGCGTGTGCAGTTGGATTGCATTTTAACTATGACATGCC